TTTTTTTGTAAAAAGAGAATGTAACATCTCTTTTTTCACAAATGTAATATCGTATGATTTAAAATTGTCATCCACGAAAATATGTACAAATCATATTTCCTACCTCTGATGTATGTTAATTATTTAACAAAATCATTCCTTATTTTGAGACGTATCTTGTACTGCCTTGGGCAAAATGACCAATAACCTCCTCTCGCCCAGATTTAAATAAAATTAATTAAATCTTCCACCGGAGTGTAGTCCTTTCCATACCCAAACTAACATATTTTACACATCATATGGTTTGTTCTTAGTTGGATGAGGTATAAGTGTTTTTGAGAATGCTAGCCTATTTGACTATAGAGTTTCGCTGCACTTATTGACTTAAACGGCATATTAGAAGTATATTTAAAAGTTACGTTTTATTACGCTATAAATTTAATAAAACTATATTTTTGGAATTTAAAAAAGTAAATCTAATTAAATGTTAAAAATACAAAGCGAAAATGTGTGTGCATTTTACTAACAATTTAAAAAGCAATCATCAATAATATTTCTTAATTTTACTCTTAAGATGGTTAAAGTTAAAGTACATCATCATTCTGTCACGCGCAGTTAATAAATTAAAGAAACTTAGTAGTTTTGTCTCAAATTCGCGCTATGATGTCATTGCGTTTTTATTTAGAACAAATGAATTTTAATTTAATTTCGCAACATTAACAACGCACTAAAAACTGATTTTTTTGTTTTCCCGATAAATGTTATTACGGTGCAATTTGTGTATCATAATTTTTTAATTTAATTTCGTTTCCATAACTTTTAAATGCATATAAAATGCTTAAGATAGCTCATTGGTTGTTACCTTAAATGTATTTAAGTGTTATTATTATAAATTACAAACTTTTACAAAAATAAAGTGGAAATTTAACATTTTTTTGGGCATTTAAATTTATTCGATTTCCGTATACCAATTACTAATAGATAATAACTATGATCCTTTTTAAGAATCCGAATGTATTTAAATATTTCCTGTTCTTTGGCGTCACGGTCAGCCTAGCTCATTCTTATATATATATATATATATATATATATATATATATCTTGCAAAAAATATATCAATATGCCACAAGGTTCAACAATACTTAAAGATAAAGCATAAGTAGCTAAATATGGTAATTAATTTGAGTTCTTCTTGCTCACTGAACTACGGCCCCCATGAAAAACATGGTCTTGTATTTTGCTTTATCCAGCCAGTGGCGTTTATACTTTTTTTGTTTTGTAGAGAGAGAGAGAGAGAAACTATCGTCTTCAAAGTATAGTTAGTATGCTTGACACAACAACTAGCCCTTGAAATTTTCTTAGAGGTTAAAAAGTCCATCACTCAATGCAACGTTTATTTTTACCTAATTCAATTGCGTCACAACTGGTGGTGTCCCTTTTTTTTAAAACGTGTGTTGTTCAGAGAGTCTTTTTTTTTTTGTGTGTGTGTGTTAAAGTGTAATGATCTTCGCTGATTTATTCATCAACAAGCATTGTTTCAAAGAAATATGGACTTACCTGTATATTTGAGCATATGGTTTCAACAGGGAACTATATTCATATCCATGATTTCAATAATCAGTTATTGCACCCCGACTAAAACTTATGCTGTCGTTTATTGGAACGATATTCCGCATTTTTGAATAGAGACCTAAGATTTTCTAGAATAAAAAAGGGGTGAACTAAATTATTAATTAAAAATAGCGATTGATTATGTAAAATTGATTATTCGGTTGCTTCGACCAAACATATGATCGAATTGCATATTAGATAGCAAGGCGACACTTTTACTGGTGTGAAGCCTTTTATTTTTATTTTTTTTTTTTTTTTTGGTAAAACGAATGCTTATTAACAAACTTTTTGCTCAAGTTTGTGCATAAAGTGTTTGCTGAGTTCAGACAACAGTCTTTGGACACTTTTATAAATACACATGTATGGGAAGACATTTTCAGAAAATCGAAATATAAATCTGGTTATGGAACAGCCTCATCTGATGATAACTTGCGAGCCAATTGAAGCTAGGGTGAACAAACATTCAACATCAGCTCAATGTTCGAAAAAATAACAATACCTTTTTTTTTTGCTTTTCAATGTGGAAAAAAGTGTGCCCATCATATTTAAATTAATGTTTATATTCAGACCCCCCCCCCTATCTTACAGCACCTATTTCTATATTATCATTTTTTTTTAAATTTTAACAAGCGTGCAGAAATAAAAATAATGGATAATGCACTATTTTAATTTTTAAGTTAATTTATTTCATTGCACTTATCTAATTAAGACTGAAGGTATTATCCATTATCCTTGCTTGACTGCTAATGTTGCACTATTTTAAATTTTAAGATAATTTTGTTCTGTGACACTGAAGGTAACAGTGTCAGCCGAGCAGTAGGTAGTTTCTCTCAGAAAAAAATTACATCACATGCCTTCTCACCAGGAAATAAACTTCAACAAAATTCTGTGAATACTCTTCAGGTCGCAATGTCGCATTGAAACAGAACGCCGTGCAGTCTTCCACTTTCACGTGCGATGATCTTGGCGGGTTTCTAGCGTCCAACGCCGTCGATGGTAACACAAATGGTTCGGTCGCAAGCCACTCGTGTACCAACACAGACACCAGAGATCCTTCACCAAGCTGGACTGTGACGTTTGGCCATCCTCAGCTCGTCAACAGATTCGTGTTGTACAACAGAGTTGGTCATGGTACTCTCAAAATATAACCTATAAAATCTATAAAACTGAATAACTTCGCTTAAGCTCAAATCATGAAACTAATTTGAATTCGATCAAAGTAATATGCATAATGTTAAATTTACAACAACAATAAAAAAAGGTAAGTTAAATATATTTCTTTAATTTTTTTTGCAAAAAATCATCTATCAAAAAAAACCATTGGTACTGAAGAATCAAAGTACTTTTAAAAAAATAAATATAGATCAATACTAAAATATTAGCAACCATTACATTTACAAGTTTTTATTGAGATGAACTTATTTTAACAAAAAGACCTTATTTAATTAGGCTAGATTAATTTATTTTACAGAATGTGGGGGTCTTTGTTCAGAAAGGTTAAAGAACTTTACCCTTGAAAGTTTGGACTACGAAAACACCACGGTGTTCAGTTACCAGGACTCGAGTGTCACAGCATTGACGGTATACACAGTAACCGTGCCGGGCCGTTTGAGGGGTTCACCGGTCAGCTTACTTCAGATCAACGCTACAGTTCTAGCCAATGAAGACTCAAACCCTGTTCTCACACTGTGTGAATTTGAGGCCTATGGGGGTAATGAATGTTTAGCCGAACTGTACATTTTTTGTTGGCACGGTCTGGGTGTGTAGTTTTCCATATTTTTTGTTTTGTTTTTTTTGTTTGTAAAAGACGTGCTAAATATTTTGATTAAAAATCGTATGGAAAACCCGTAAAGGGCTTTTTCACAAATTACGCCATAAAAGTAAGGGGAACGTGGTTTGAAAAAAAAAAAAAAAAAAAGGAATTTGACAGTTTCCTCAACGGGTGAGAGGTGTGTCAAGATAAATTTACGTCAACAATTCTATTTTCAGTGATATGTAAAAAAAAAAAATTGATGTAATAAATAAGTCTAGATTATTTTAATTGCTATAAAAATCTGTATTATTTCATATTGTCAGAACAGCACACATGTGATGCGTTGTTGGACCTAAGAAATTACAATGTGCCACTAAATAGAAGAAGAAAAAAAAACGCGTAAATTCTAGTGACTGCGAACAAAAAACTGGTCACGGTGATAGAAATCGTGACACTAATAGAGAATGCTGATTTTTTATGATGCTGAATGCTTTAACTAGACAAGGGCGGTTCCATCCGGTTCCATTACAATATCGATACAAGCTAATAAATCATGATAAATTAATCAGTTAATATGTGCTATGAAAAAAGAGAAACATTTGGCCAATCAACCTGAACATTAGGCTGATCAACGTAAAGATTTTAAAATCTGGCCATACATTTGCTTATAATAATATTTAGACTTGATGCCTTTAACAAAGTCTGCATCAAAAAATAGATGGGGGGGGGGGTGTTTGTTAATCCGTTGTGAAATGTTGTTTTGTAATTTGCAATGTGAAGTTCATTTTTAAAATGGTAAGATAAGAAGTGCACAGCTAATAAATGTTATTCTACATGTACCCCTCAACATAAGCTCAATATTTAAAAAAATAACAATTCCTTTTTTTTTTTCTTTTCAATGTTGAAAAAAGTGTGCCCATCATATTTAAATTAATGTTTATATTCAACCCCCCCCCCCCCTATCTTACAGCATCTATTTCTATATTATCATTTTTTTTTAAAGTTTAACAAGCGTGCAGAAATAAAAATAATGGATAATGCACTATTTTCAATTTTAAGTTAATTTATTTCATTGCACTTATCTAATTAAGACTGAAGGTATTATCCATTATCCTTGCTTGACTGCTAATGTTGCACTATTTTAAATTTTAAGATAATTTTGTTCTGTGACACTGAAGGTAACAGTGTCAGCCGAGCAGTAGGTAGTTTCTCTCAGAAAAAAATTACATCACATGCCTTCTCACCAGGAAATAAACTTCAACAAAATTCTGTGAATACTCTTCAGGTCGCAATGTCGCATTGAAACAGAACGCCGTGCAGTCTTCCACTTTCACGTGCGATGATCTTGGCGGGTTTCTAGCGTCCAACGCCGTCGATGGTAACACAAATGGTTCGGTCGCAAGCCACTCGTGTACCAACACAGACACCAGAGATCCTTCACCAAGCTGGACTGTGACGTTTGGCCATCCTCAGCTCGTCAACAGATTCGTGTTGTACAACAGAGTTGGTCATGGTACTCTCAAAATATAACCTATAAAATCTATAAAACTGAATAACTTCGCTTAAGCTCAAATCATGAAACTAATTTGAATTCGATCAAAGTAATATGCATAATGTTAAATTTACAACAACAATAAAAAAAGGTAAGTTAAATATATTTCTTTAATTTTTTTTGCAAAAAATCATCTATCAAAAAAAACCATTGGTACTGAAGAATCAAAGTACTTTTAAAAAAATAAATATAGATCAATACTAAAATATTAGCAACCATTACATTTACAAGTTTTTATTGAGATGAACTTATTTTAACAAAAAGACCTTATTTAATTAGGCTAGATTAATTTATTTTACAGAATGTGGGGGTCTTTGTTCAGAAAGGTTAAAGAACTTTACCCTTGAAAGTTTGGACTACGAAAACACCACGGTGTTCAGTTACCAGGACTCGAGTGTCACAGCATTGACGGTATACACAGTAACCGTGCCGGGCCGTTTGAGGGGTTCACCGGTCAGCTTACTTCAGATCAACGCTACAGTTCTAGCCAATGAAGACTCAAACCCTGTTCTCACACTGTGTGAATTTGAGGCCTATGGGGGTAATGAATGTTTAGCCGAACTGTACATTTTTTGTTGGCACGGTCTGGGTGTGTAGTTTTCCATATTTTTTGTTTTGTTTTTTTTGTTTGTAAAAGACGTGCTAAATATTCTGATTAACAATCGTATGGAAAACCCGTAAAGGGCTTTTTCACAAATTACGCCATAAAAGTAAGTGGAACGTGGTTTGAAAAAAAAAAAAAAAAAGGAATTTTACAGTTTCCTCAACGNAAAAAAAAAAATTGATGTAATAAATAAGTCTAGATTATTTTAATTGCTATAAAAATCTGTATTATTTCATATTGTCAGAACAGCACACATGTGATGCGTTGTTGGACCTAAGAAATTACAATGTGCCACTAAATAGAAGAAGAAAAAAAAACGCGTAAATTCTAGTGACTGCGAACAAAAAACTGGTCACGGTGATAGAAATCGTGACACTAATAGAGAATGCTGATTTTTTATGATGCTGAATGCTTTAACTAGACAAGGGCGGTTCCATCCGGTTCCATTACAATATCGATACAAGCTAATAAATCATGATAAATTAATCAGTTAATATGTGCTATGAAAAAAGAGAAACATTTGGCCAATCAACCTGAACATTAGGCTGATCAACGTAAAGATTTTAAAATCTGGCCATACATTTGCTTATAATAATATTTAGACTTGATGCCTTTAACAAAGTCTGCATCAAAAAATAGATGGGGGGGGGGGGGTGTTTTTTAATCCGTTGTGTAATGTTGTTTTGTAATTTGCAATGTGAAGTTCATTTTTAAAATGGTAAGATAAGGAGTGCACAGCTAATAAATGTTATTCTACATGTACCCCTAAAAGGTTGCGTGCCAGGAACGTGGGGACTAGATTGTAACAACACATGCAACAAAAGTTGTAATACAACATGTCATGAAGAAACTGGGGCGTGCCAAGTGTGTATTGGATTCAACAATCCACCGACCTGTGATATGTGTACGTGATAATGTTAAAAATTCAGTTTGTTTTTTGTTTTTTGTTGGTTTTTTGTTGGTTTTTTTTAATCTGTTCGTATTTATAAACCAGTGGTTCTCAAAGTGGATGGTAGGCCTCTCAGGTTGAAATGTAATTTTACAGGTGGAGTGGGTTGCTTTAAGGCTCGGCAGAATTAGGGGCCCTGAAATTAACTAAAGGGGCTTTGGTGATGATATACAATAAGTTATAAGTTACTAAGAAAAAATAGTTTCATAAAAATTCATCAAGGTGTCTTGGGGGTCAATGCCGTGACATCAAATTCAGGATGACTGAGAGTCAATCCCATGACATCACATTCAGGTAGACTTGAGAATGGATGGCATGATATCAAATTCAGGTAGACTTGAGAGTGGATGCCATGACATCACATTCATGCTCACGACTGGAACAATAAGAAAAAGCAAAACCAAGAATAATCAATGAACACTATCCAGGAAATTGGTAAAAATTAATTACATCTAGTTTAAAAATTGCTCCCTTGTATAAAATATTTTCTGCATAAAATCTCAGTGAAAATTTTTAAAATTGTACTTTTTTTTTTTTTTACTTAGCAATTTTGTGTAAAAATCTATACATGTTAATTCTTTCACTTGCCATCCACTTAAGTAATGCGTTTTAAGCATTATCCATACACTTGTAAAACTTACAGCCTGGGTGTATTTACCGCCTATGGGTATTGTATTGTAAAGGTAATGCTTATGTATACTGTGTTGTAAAGTTTCTGCCCATGTACACTGTGTTGTAAAATTACTGCCCATGAATACTGTGTATTAAAACTACTTCCCGTGTATAACTTATTTTAAAAATTACTGCCCATTTATACTATGTTGCATTACATTAGCGTGTCGGATTGGACAATGGGGGATGAACTGTCTTGAAAGCTGCAGCACGAAATGCCTTGATGCGTCTTGTGACAAAGCGACCGGAGTTTGTGACAGGGGTTGTCATGGATACGATGACCCTCCCGCCTGTAATAAAGGTAGGTCCAACATTAAGATTTAATGGAGCTAGTGTGACATTTCATTCAATATATAGGGAGTTCCATGGGGGAAAAGTCAGTGTTGTTATTTTAGATGGGTCAGTATATTTTCATTGAAAATGACTTTAACAAAAACGTATTGTATATCTGTTTAATAGTTTGCATATTTTATTTAATGTAATTTTTCTTTATTCTTTTTTTTCTGCTCATGTTCTTAAAATTTTGTTGTGTGGCTGTTATGATACAAGAAAGAGAAATGTTCGTAAATTCAATATGCATTATTAAAATGGTCCAATACAATTTTACAGTATTATATCATGAAGATCATATTACTTCAATGTAATTTATATTATGGTTACAGAATGTTCACGTGGTTTTTGGGGTGCCAACTGCACGTCTCGCTGTAACAACTGCTTGAATACGTCATGTGACCGTACAGACGGTAAATGCAACATCGGCTGCGGTGTCGGGATCAGCAACTTTCCGCATTGCAATGCAAGTATGTTTCTAAATGAGATATTATGTCAATAACTTTTTGTAGCCATCAGGCTCAAAATAATGGTTACAGGAAATATAATATACCTTTTGGCCAAGGTATATGTCTAAATTTTGAGAAAAATTATTTATTTTTAATAAAATAATAGTTCACGATGAAAGAATAACATCCTATTCATTCAAATTATTTCCCATCTCATCAAAACAGCTTTCACTACATCTCAATAAGAAAACAATTGGGCTGAATATGTTATTTTTTCCGTATTCGAGTATGGTTCTATAAAGTATTTATCAAAAGTAATGTATTGTGGTTAGATGTCGAATTCGCGAATATAGTTATGTTAAATTTTTAAAAAAATTTAAATCTAAATAGCGAATTTGCATAACATAAAATGAACTTTTTTGGCAGCGAACCTTAAATTACATGACACTATTTTGGCCAATGGTGCTTAACTCCCCCGCCCCCTGTTTCCAATCCAAAATAAAATCACTAATAATCAATACAGAAAATTTTTTTAAATAATCCTATACCTTAGAATTATGGAAATAAATAAATATTTATATAAAAGAGGATCGGAAAATCATCAAATTACGCAACAAGGTATTACAGCTTTTCGCTATGTTGATGTTCAAAAACAATCAAAAATAATTCTTCAAGATAGTATATTGTTTAACAGTGTTTTTAAAGACCACATCCAACAGCGCTTCCATGTCAAAGCCATATCGGCGCCCTACCTAATTTATCGTCAAGGATCACAAAAAATATCAAAATGTTGCTCGGAGCTTGAAGGTTAAATTAAGAAAAGCCTTACACTTGAGAAAAAGTTCTTAAAATTGTATTGCAGTGTCGACCAAAGTCAACCAGCGTGTGAGACTCACTGTTTGCACAACGTTTGTATAAGTTTTTTTGTTTTTTTAAATTTTAGATGATCTTAAAGTACAATGCTACACCACATTGTTTTACTTTCAATCTTAATGGGTTTTCAACCAAATTTGCTAAATGACACCGCATATTTTTGTTATAATTTAATTCGCTTAAAACAATATTTTACCATTTACGATCACTCCTAGCCTGCCCTAAAGGTTTCCACGGTGTCGGCTGTTCTGAGCCGTGCTCCCGAATTTGTAAAGGAGGGGACTGTGATTCTGTAACTGGTGATTGTCTGCACTGTAACCCTGGTTACCTAGGCCCGCATTGTGCACAAGGTATGCACTTATTACCATCAGTAACAACGACATTGATACCTACGCATCCTTTGTAAACTTGTTAAATAAAACGATAACATTTTTCATTCATTAAGTTGTTACTGATCGGTTATGCATTTGTTATAATCCATAAAGACTAAATGAAACGTTGCTAATACGAGGCACTACACATTGAAAATCTGTCAACGTATCTCAGTCTTTACCTAAGCAGCACAAAATGCAAATCTGTCCCAATCCCAAGACACGTACTTTTAATTCAATAATTACAGCGTGTGGCCATCGATCTTATGGTCAGGACTGTAGCCTGACCTGCAGTCAGAATTGTGAAGTGAATGAAAGTGTTTTACCTGAAGTATGTCATCATGTGACTGGAACGTGTCTCCTCGGGTGTTTATCTGGCTACTCTGGAATCTTGTGTCTGCCTGGTTAGTTAGTTTGTTGTTTTTTTTTCGTTTTTTTTTTTGGTCTCTTGCAAATATTTTTTTAAGTAACATATTATTTTACATATAATTGATGACTTGTGGTCAGATGTTACGGCAACAAACGTTAGCTTTTAGAGAATTCTTGTTGTGTGCACAGGTATGCCTTAAAGGCTTTTTTAATCCGAACTATATCCATATCCTTTAAAGCCTAACTTCTCGGCACCATGTTCAAATCTACACAACTTTTGCTCAGATTATCGAGAATCGTTCAACGCTATTGCTGAATATCGTATAGAAAGCCAAACATTTCAATATCCTATCAACTTCAATTTTATGAGAATGAGTATTTCATAAATTGTGTGTTTTCGATAATAAACCAGCAGCAGATGCATTGGACAGCACGACAGCTATCGGCATTGCATTTGGACTCACTGTTGGTTGTCTGCTAGCAATTATTCTTGTCCTTACGATTTGTCTCTGGAGACGCAGATAGAAACCCAAGCCAAGCTGCACTACAACAGTCAGATCACGACCGCGCCATAAATTACGACAATGTCAAACCAAGTGTAGAAGATGAACACGAGTATGAGAGGATTGGGAATTCAAGTCAGTCAATAAAAACTATTTAAACTATTTAAAAGCATGCATTTTATTTTTTTAAAGTAAAAATTAAGTATATATGCAAACAATGAATCAATCCATATATCCATCGATATAGACCTTCATACAAACATCCACACGGACATCCATACAAACATCCACATGGACATCCATACAAAAGTCCCAATTTTCATTCATCAGAGGTTTTGTTTTTCTAATGACATGTCATTTTCGTCTGCGACCGTCTTGTTCCCGTCTAACAATCCAGTCGTTCACACATCTCACTGACGATAA